GGGGGGGCCAGGCCCCCCCCTTAGTGTGATATATCAAGGTTTAAGGCACGCAGCTCATTCCACTACCAATTGCTAAAGCAAAGAAGAACTCAGCTAGCATGCTAGCTTTCGTGACTTGCAAATCAAAACGCCATTGATTCAGAACCATCCTGGATCATATAATCTCATTCATTTCCCACAAGCCCTCTGCGTGTTCATGATGGCTTGAAGTACAGGAGGCGGTCCAGCTGCAGTGATCACTTTTGTGGCTCAGTTCGCATCGCCGAGTCGCGGAGCTGAAGGCGCTGAGTGTCTTGGACTGTGAGGCCATGGTGTTGAGGGGCTAAGGTGCTTGGTACACGGCAGGCTTGGTGACGCACACAAGTTCATCCAAGACGTGCCCGGAAGGGCCATGAAATGGCTGCTTGATCCCCTAGGCCCATCTTGAAGTGCGTGGCTTATGGACAAAACCACAACACCAGGAGCCCCATCTTGGGGTCGCAACGAGAGACCAGTCGTGATTGGACCAGATCGACCAGTCGGGGCGCCCGCCAGATCGGCCCAAGTCGAGGTGCCGTCCAGCGACCCAGGGTTGTTGAAGAGCACTCTTTGACCTTGCGCCATGTGAGAGGGCTTGCTTTCATGCTCGCCATCCATTCTAGGTTCGCACGTCCAGCAGTAGGTTCAGTTCTGGCCCGAAAGAACAGGGTAGGTTTGGGACTCTAACAGTTGTGTTAAATTGTGTTACTCTGAAACAGCTTACTCGGCCAAACACATTGGCCGTCACCAAGCTGACATTAGCCAGGATGCTGTTTGCCAGAATCATCTTCCAACCACCCCGACTGGATGGCTACATGGTAGGTTGCAAAAACCAATGAACACACCAACAACTAACAACAGCCAAGCCTGCAACATGGGCCCACGATACGCCTGCGCAGCAGCTGCGCGGCAGCTGTGGACTCCCACCGCATGGCCAGCACAGCCGCGCAGCAGTGGCGGGAAATGGCTGCATCCGGTAACGAGGTCAAAATGTGCCACAACGAAAGAAGAAAACACAACATCCAACCTATTTTGAGAGTCGCATAATCATTTGCAATGTGCTCATCGCTACTCTCAAGTTTCGGGGGGATCCTTCAGTGCGAGCACTTTCAACAGCTACAGCTAACAATGCCAAAAAGGTTTATCTCAACGACAGGTTGGATCAACAAGAGAGGGCCAAAGTTGGCCAAAGTCCTCAAGACTTCAACAACTCATATACGCTCCCTACATCAAAAAAAATGCACAACATCTCCGGCAGCATTTAAAACTGACGTAACATGTTCTCCATAGCCCTTCCTAAGCACGAGATTCCACCACCGGCCGATATCCCACCGATCTCTTCCCAGATCTCGTTGATTTTTCTCTCCGGCTCTTTCACTGCATGGGCCATCCACTCCAACCACGCTGGGCCATGGCGTCCAGCAGTGGCCGAAAGCACTCCACAGCGGAGCCTCCGCACGGGACTGTGCGGAGAACAGTGAGAGCACTGGACTCAGTCCACAAATTCCAAGCAGTCCAAAGATTCTTGTGATATTTTGAGTGATATTAGGGGAATTTGGCATGGTTTAAACCAGCTGCAAGCAACAAAAGTCTATCTATCCAAGACCTGTCGGGAGAGTGGAACATTAATATATCATAATATATCTTTTAAACCCCTCAAACGCCCTTTTCAACATAGCACACATGAGTACATGAGACACATGATAAAGAACACGGCCTGGAACAAACCATGGAATTCCAGAACGCGACACAGGCGTCAGTACTTTCACTGATCAAAGGTCTTGTCCGGTGGATACTATCAGAGGCTAAGTTTTTTTTCCTAAGCAGAGGCTAAGTGTGACAAACACAAAACTCCTGAAGTCCTGGTCAAACCATGCGATTGTTGAAGAATACCCGACCAGTTCACCAATTAGCAGCTGTGACGTGCGTACACTCATGGCCTGTGTCTTCGGCATAGGCTTCGCGCACGGAGTACTCCCAGATCGTCTCGCTCCCATCAGGGGTCCCAGCCCTGGCAGAAGCACAAGCAAAAGGGCCCATGAGCTAGATCTTGAGTTGCTCACTGGTGAGTCCTTGTCAATTGCCCATTTGCATAAGGGGTCAAATCTATACTCAACAATGACCAGCAAGGGTTGGGGAACTGCCTGTAGCTTGTTGGCCCCCTGTTGAATGGGCAATATGGATGGATACTCCTGGCTCCTTAGCTCCCTACTCCTGGCTCCCTCCTGAGCACCGCTAGATGAATGTAGTAGTATCGGGGCCAGTGAGAAAAACATCGAAACATGTGTGAAAGAAGGCACATCTTGCACATCTAACAAGTTTTGCACATACTTGAACATATTTGAGTCCCGTGGCACTTGTTGATACCTTCGTACTTGGCACTTGGCCGGTCCCAAACCCTCCAGCTCCATGTTCCTCAGCTCCGGCGAGCACAGCGAGGCGAGCCACGGCGTGCACTTCCGCTCCGGCCGGTCGCCGCGCCTCGGTGCGGAGACGGATCAGTTAGAGGCGAAAACAGC